GAATTGTTGCATGAGAGAGAGCTGCTACACTTCAAAAACGCAAACATCGCAATGAAGAGGCAAAAATATGAGAAAATACACCAAGATGTGTGCTTATACAAAATATACACTCATTCTCTTTCTCTCACACACACAAGTGAGCCACTTTCTTGTGGAAATACCACAGTAGAAAAAAAACGACCAAGAGTGAGTGAATGAGAGCGAGCGGGAGAAAGAAAGCGCAACGATGTGATTGCACAATGCACATTCAACAGAAACAGGATGCGAATGGGAAACGTATTTTATGCATTCAAGTTTTCGGAAAACTATTATTCAGTTGCACGCCGTTTTGAATGCAAAATCAATTCAAAACACTTAATTTATGTGTATACGTACGTTTGCAAAGCAAATCGAATGCAGCACATGGGCAAGTATTCCTCCCTCCCACTTTCTATGTCTCTCTATTACTATCGCAATTATGGGCACGATTTCACGTGTTTAACGGATTGCTGATTACTGCATGACAGCAACAAAATGGTCCCCTTTCTCTTTTTCGCCGTATAGTAATTTATTGCCAGGAAAAATGTTAACTTAAAAAAACGGTGCTGGTGAATTTGGCCTCCCCGTTGGTTTACGTCGAAATTAAGTTTGAACGTGTTTTCTATCGTGCGGTGGTGATGAGTGGGTGTACGATGCTTCGATGCAAGTATAATTTTCAAACGCGAACATACAGAATTTTTTCATTAAATCATTGTGTAAATTGAAATGCAGCGAATGAATAACAATAAGCAACGGTAAGAAAGACTAAAGTGCACAAATCAAGAATGCTAAATAGAAAAATACACGCTATCATTGAACATGATGGTGCACTTTCACTCTCTCCCTCTTAAATTCTCAAGCCCTTATGATAAGTACAAATAATACGGATACTTGACAGTGTACGCGGCATTGTCGCTACAGAAAAGACCTGCAGTGCAAAATGAACGCAAATCAAATCACGAACCAAAAAAAAAAAAGAAAGAAAGAAAAAAACGCTTCGCTTTTCCCAGTCATTCGTTAAGTCTGCAGTTTCGCACTCATACACACAGAGAGAACTAGAACTGACAGTGACAAAGCGAGCTTTAGCATGGGCATCAAAAGAGACTGTGAACGTTGCAAAAGCGAAACGAAGAACTCAATGAAATTACGTTACGACAACGTTATTTCCAATGCAATTTATGAACAACAACACAACAAATATAATCAACAAAAGGAAAATAATAAAATGAGTTTTTCGAAAATCGAATCGAAAGAAAAACATGGAACGCGGGCGCGCCAACAATTCCCCCCCAAAAAAAAAACTGCAACAAACACAGTTAAGCATAAGCACTGCGTGCATTTGCTCGCTACGATGATAGAATCGCCGAATGCCAGTCAGTGCCTGAGCACTACGAACAACACTATATGGTACCAACGATAAATGAAACAAAACAGCACCAAATTTGTATAAATAAGTTAAAAGAAGGCGCACAACTTACTTTTAAATGAAATTCGACCAACATTATAAACTAACGACACGAAAATTTAATTCCACAATGTTCGTCATCAGACGTTCTTGCGTTCCGGCGTTGTTGCTGGGACGAAACACGAAATTCGCGTGATCAGCATACGCAATATATTCCTGACGTAGAAAATTTGCAATGCAACGGTGAACAAGAATCATTGCACCGCATGCAATCACTGTGTACAAGAACATGGACGCGCGCGTTCGCTCATGCACACATATAAACCATACTAATATCAAAATGTTTCTCGCGAAACGAGTGAGTAAAGAACAAAACAGAAAAACACAAAAAAAACAACATTATTAAAACAAAAAACGAACAAAATAGTTTGCACGAAAGGTTCAGGACAACGACAGCAGCACACTCAAGCACATTGAATGAGAGACAGGGAAAGCAAGAGAGAAAAACAAGGGGGAAACTACTACTACCGCGTAATTCATATTAATACAATCTAGTACAACACAAATTCTGGAAAATTCCAAAAAATTCTGCGCAATTCAAAACAATTCCAATCAATTCCGATGTTCCTTAGTCAAATTTGGTGATGATCAACTCAAAATATTACAAATATAGGAACATTTACCATTCATTTGAATGCATATTGAAGATTTTTACTTCTAGAACATATTTGACTTGGTTTGATCTACAAGACTCAATTCTAGCTCTGTTTTCTATTTTGAAAATATTTTATCATCACTTTACCTATTTGAAGTGAAATATTGAATTGGAAGTGAGACCTATGTACAATTAAAAATGCCCTATCTGAAGTTATTTCGATAAGATTGAACATCTATGCGCTTAAGCATTCCTTTGAGATGCTAAATGACCCTATATTTGCAATTTTTGAAGTTGATCATCATCAAATTTGACTTAGAAACATCGGAATTGATTGGAATTGTTTTGAATTGCGCAGAATTTTTTGAAATTTATCAGAATTGATGTTGTACTAGATTGTATTAATATGAATTATGCGGTAGTAGTAGTTTCCCCCTTGGAGAAAAATGAAACAAACAATTTGAAGAGACTTAAAATCAACGAGGTGAAACACTCGTTTTGAGTGGAAACGAATCCGAATCAGATGGAAACCGCCAACGCTTTCATCATTTTGCACGACAGAAAAAGTGAAGCGACGACGACAAGAACGACAACGATGACGACCAAATGAGAGGAGAAGAAGAAAAATCGCGTACGCGTCTTGCAGCAATAAATCATAAATAGTTTGCTTTTACAGCATTATTTTGAGTTGCAAATATCATTTGCTTATCATTGAGACCGTTTTTTTTTTTAAATGGATTGCAGCATTCTGTCTTCATCCGTAATTCTTTTTGCTCTTGCATTTACTACATGCTGTACACATTTTGCACAATGGCACATCAGAGTACGGCAAAAAAAAATCAACGTTTTCAAATTATTTTAATAAAAATGAGTGCTTCCTCTCAACTGTGATATGTTCCGATGAAGTTAGCAAGAAGTAAATATTGCTAGCTACAAGTGCGATATGGGTCGTTGTTTTACGCATTTAATACTTTTTCCTTTGACATGTTTTCATTATGTTTATTAAGTAAACGGAATGGAATAATATTCGCATCATATTCTCGTATAACATGGAAATGTCGTCGGTGTGCTCTACAAAGAGCACCATATCGACGGAATATTGGTGTTACGGAAATTAAAATACTAACGATAACGAAAATGTCATCAAATATTCCACATCGTATGATTCATCTCTGGCGCCACAGTGAAACCAATGCACCGAGAGCAACATAGCGCGCAAACAGAAACTCGGCAAAGAAACCCGCACCCAAAACGGCAAGCAAAAACCGAACAAAAAACACGCACATACAGAGATAATGTGATAAGAAAATCGAAACAACATAATTAGATGTTCTAGATGTTCTCAATTTGTTTGTGCATAAGTTAAACAAATACCGCAACCAAAAAGATGAGCATGAGGCAGCTCCATGCATATTCGTAATAACATTGCCGTTAAAATATCAGTTTACAGAATCACTGTGTTTGCCAGCTATGATCGGTGTCATCGTTTGTACACTCAGATTTCACGGCGACTGTTGTGCGAGTATGAGTGCTACGCAGACGGAACGACATTTCATTTTCTAAGCGATTTTAATTTCTTCCTAACTCGTGCCGGCCGTTCATTGTATGACATCAACGGCAATAGCAACAGAGTGGAAGAGCGCCAACACAGTGGCTGTTGCGCTATATTCGGCTCAAATTCCACATAAAAAGCGACAGCCACACCAGCTTTGGCTCTCGCTAGTAATTACAAATGCCAATGAGTTAATAATCTAATTTTAAAATCGAAATGAACGAGGCAAAAGTCAATTTTTGTTATCTCTTAATAACTTTTTAATTAAATTCTTTGACATCGCTCGCAGCAAGCGCGAGCGCTGCACAGATATAAAACTCTTCGACCCCAACTCTCCCGCTCTCGCTCTCTCTCTCTCTCTCTCTCTCTCTCTCTCACCACAACATTGCAATATTAACGTGTCTATTTTATGTTGCCATCGGAGCTCCAGCTACTGGGCACACGCACTCTTGGCAATACACATCGATTAAACCACTTTATCTCGAATGTAATGAGCTCGACAATACGATGAATATGTGCAATATTGTGCGCACCCAACGCATTGTACACGTGTTTTGGCAATTGTGTGCTCCTGAATTCGATCCACAGAAGAAAAAAACCTTACTCCAGACAAATCAAGTGCTTGGATTTGTGAATCAGACCACAAGAAAAAAAAGATACACTCACACACACATTGAAGAATAGGAAACAAAGGAATGCTTTGCACCAACAAAGAGCTTTCACTTGAAATGTGTTACACCATTCGAACGGCGGCCGACATAGAAACGGTTGAAACCGATTTCATTTTAGCACACGAAAAATGCTCACGGCATTTTTACATCCGTTTTCTATTACCTATCATGAAAATTACGAGCGGACGGGGCGAAACGAAAAAAAATATCGACTTGAAATCTTTTATTGGAATTCTTTTATGCCTATCGCATGGGTAAAAAAAAATAAATGGGCAAATTTTATGAGCTTAATCAATGGTAATGCTACGATACTCGACCACATTTTTTTGGGAGAGAGAGCCGACACGAACGCAGTTAAAGCAACAATGTGATCTTTCAAAATAGATAAATGATTGATTAAATTTTTTTCAATGTTGGGCAACCAAAGAAATACTACACGGAATCCATTGTGCCATAATTCATTGTTTCTTCATATCAACTGATACCTGAATGTCTCATCTCAAAGAAAATGATTCAAAACGAACTTCATTTTTCCAATTTATCACTTTAATCAGTCCGTAGAAATCGCACACCAAACACATGCATTATCCCTCGGTTCTTATTTAATTAGATTAAGAATCTGGTTTTTATTTTTGGTATTCGCATGCAACCTGACCCTCGTTTAACAAAACATCTTTTTTTTTTCGTGTTTTATTTCAGCATCGTCAACCATCTCCTCATCCTCATTATCAAAACGGTGGCCATAATCCATCTGGACATAGTCCAGCTGCACAATATCGCCAGCTATCACCAGCTGCCAATTATAAAAGTCCCCAAGCCAACTATCCCGGTCAATACTATCAATCACCATCATCAAACTATCCACAATCGGGATACCAGCAACAATCGCATCTGCAACCATCCTATCAACAACAACTGGCATATCAACAACAAGGAGGATACAAACAGCCAAGCCAGCAACTGGGAGGATATCAGCAACCAAGCGAACACCCAGGCTACCAACAACCGGGCTATCAACGCCAAATTTCGGAAAAAAGCCAATATCCATGTGGCCAAGATTTCAATAGCCCTGATCCAACTTATTTGAGACAGTCCACTCCTAGGTATTTTCCAAGCTTAACGAATACCTCTCCGAAATTTACTACAAAATCAATGGACCCATTGACTTCATTTAATTAAGATGACAAATACTTTTCGAGTCAAAGCCGAAGAAGACAATAAAAATATTTTCGCATTTTTTTCGCTTTGGTTCGGAAATGAATTTGTTGTTTGATGGTGTCTGAAAGTCAATCGAGCGGCATCTCTTTTTTAATATTTGTTCGAAAACTGAAATTCATGGTTAAATTCATGGCAATTTTCCATTCCATTGTAGCTATTTGCCAACACAACAACAAAGCAATAAGCCACCAAGCTGCACAGCTGCCTTTACCGGTGGCATCTCTGTTGGTAATAAAGCCCAGGCTCAAGCTAAAAATCAAGGCAATTGGTCGCATGTCCAACCATCGAGACCGGTTCATGTGGGATACGTTCAACCACAGTATAATAAACAATCGCAACCACCATTTCAAAACGAACCGGCATACGCCGTAAATCAAAATCAATATCAGCCACAACAGGTACGGTCATGCTATCTTTTCACGCTCTCTCTCTCTCTCTCTCTCTCTCTCTCTCTTTCTTCACTGCTGGAATTTCAATTAAGTCAAGAGAATTTCGACTATTTAGTGTTCTTGTGAACTCGCTCCATCTGAAGTGTAGTCACTTGAAATTCAAGTCAATGAGATGAAAATGCAAACACAACACCAACGATTGGGAAAAAAGATTTGAACAAGAAGGCATTTGTGAAATTGTGGAACACATCGCAGTTTTCGATACAAACTTTGACATTGAAAAATGAACATCAAATAATTAGTGCGCGTGTGTGGACAGAATGGTCGATTGGTACAAATTATTCGTCATTGCTTCAGTTTGGGTTGCATTATTTTCTCAGCACATTTGTTATCTGCTATCTTTGGATACAGTCGTATAATAATAATTAATATAATTAATTTAAGCGATATCAAAGATGTGAAAATATTTTTCGACGATGGAACATTCCATCGATCTATTAGTAGATATTCGGCGAAGCAAATATTAGGGAATATTCAAACAGCCATCATGTTTTATTGGAAAGGTACGCATTCTTCAATTATAATAATTTCGTAGACGGAATACTTTGAATAGTTTGCCCGTTAAGCAAAGCTACTGAGGCAAAAGTCATTGTGGTTTAACGCAAAAATATCCATATTTGCATATTTCATATATCATTTCGGATCAACAGTCGCTAAGTCAATGGTATGGTTTCATCAGTGATAACCAGGGTTTTTTTACATTTATTTATTTTTTTTATTTTTTTATTTACACTGCCAAAAACTGGCTGAATATTTTGGTTTGCAGGAAAACGACTCCAAGAGTCGTGAAAAGCCTGATCTTTTCGTGTTTGTACAATATAGGGTATTTTCATACAATAGATAGTTATAGCAGTCTTTCTCGATTTGAATTTAGGGTTTGGTCTATAAAATTTAACACAAAGAAACCTAACCAATACAAGGAAATGTTTAGTAAGCCGAATTGTCAACGGTTCAAGATAATCTAACAACGCGTTTAAGAAAAGATAGACTAACTGGAGCGTTAAACATATTATTGTCGGCCTTAATGACTGCAAAAGTCATCTTTCAATTTATCAGAGAAGTGATATATTGAAGAAAAGTTTATATTTAGATACGGTTTTTATCGCCGAATGCAATCCATAAGAGCTGTTCGATTGTTCTCTTTTTGGTAAAAAAAAAACCGTACCAAAATAGGTTGCCATTCAAACATTTTCCAATTTCACAGTTTAGTCATGGCATTAGGTACACGGTACAGGCAATAACTATTTCCGCAAACATGTCAAATTAGTAGTTGTACAATGTACATTTTACCATCAGGTTTGCAAACCAATTGTTTGCCAATGGTTTACCAGCAAAAACAATATCAAATTTTAAATTTCAGGGAAAAAAAAGACCCGAGTGCACTAATGATAAACCAGGCAAACAACAAACTTTATTTAATTGATTTTATTTCGAAAGTTGTTTAATTACTGAATCTGTTCTTGTCCAGCCTTATCATCAGCAGCAACAACAACAACAACATCAATACCAACAAGCGGCTTTCGCACAGCCATCAGCTCAACAGCATCAATACCAAACAAACCAATCGGTGCAGCCGCAACCGCAAAAGCAATATCGTTCCGAAGATAATTTCTATCGACAACCAAGCCCCGGCACCATAACGTTGCGCAAAGAACTACCGGTTACACAGCGTCCATCTCTTCTTTACGCATCTGAGCCGGCTGCCTATAGCTTTGGAGGTATACTTTTTTGTGTCATCTTTTATGTTTTGATTGAATCACCTACATACATACTTATATATATAGCACTCTTGCAAAAATATCATGCGATTGTTTCGATCCGTTTGCGGCGATTTGCCGGACTCGGTTGACAATGTCAATGCGACGAGCAATCGAAATGATTTCGAAGCATCCGAACACAACCGACTCGTTCGTTCATTGCTGTCCTTTCGAAATGATTGTGAGATATTTTGTGCGATGCATTTGTCTCTTGTACACCCGTTTGCATTCATGCATAAATTCAAACTGACTGAACAACCAAATCGATTTTCTCATCAATTGTTGCCAAATCCCCATCATTCTCACCTAGTCCATTTTCAAATAGCATGCATTCTTCTTTGTTTTATGTCTAATTGTTGATACTGGTGTTCCAGATTGGTACACATTTTATCAATTATCGTTTGATTTGGTTCGAATTTTGAGCGAATGTGTCGGTGTGTTTTATTCAGTCTTTCGCCTCCCCGACCTCTCTTTCTCTTTTGCCGACAATTGTTTGCAAGTATGAGAGATAGACAGAGAAAATTGAGAACCTCAACCGATCCAACTGATTTTGTCATTAAGTTGAAACACTCAATGTTTTACTTATTGCCACCTGGCTCAAGCGACCAACTCGACATTTTTGGAATATTTTGTTGTCACAAGTATTATTATCCCATTTAGTTTAACATACACAACTTTTGCATCGCCATCGCTTCCATTCTTTTTTCACTCTCTGAACTTCTCAAAACAAGAATTTCTTCATTTAAAGTTTGACATTATCAATCAGACCGAAGTTGATTGCTTCCCATGTTATCTTCCCGTGTGAAAAGATTTTGACTAACTGACTGACTGCATAAATCGATTAAAAGTGATTCAATTCGCAAAAAATTGGAAAAAACTGGAATTGTGTTTAAAAAAAAATGGTTGGCTTTAGTCACCTCTCAGATATTCGCTTAATTTTGAACATTTCGACTGAACAGGTGACGATAACTGAAGTTGAATACAGTCGTCTATTTTGTTCAAGATGATCATTTCTAGTCAATCGATAGCCAGCCAAAGTGTTCAAAATTAAGCGACTGGCTACTCAGTCAAAAAAAAAAAAATGTCGAACGGGCTGCATGTGATTTCTGTTCTAGTTTTAGTATAATCGTGTACAATAAAAAAAAATAGCGTTATGAATCTATTGTGATGTGAGAAACAATAGAAATCGAAACTTTTGCCAGAAATCAATCATGTATGTGTGTCACATAGCAATTTTCAATTTCGAAGCTCGTTAAAATGATACGCAAACAATGTGATTTACCATGTGATCGAATTCACCTTTAATCACAACACTTTTCAGCAGTCACATTTCATTCGGTTGGCCGATATATGGACAAATGTCCAGAATGCGTATCTGTTCTGAAGTGAACGTCGTGTTCGTATTGTTGATTTTCTCCACAAAATTATATTTCCATCGTGAATGGTGAGAGATAAACTTTTTTCTGTTGGATTGTGATCCATTTCAGCATATTGTGCATTCAATTCATTGCATAAACTTGTGTATAAATTATATTCAAGCAATGAATGAAATTTTCGAAATATTTTCATGTTGTCAAAAATTGAAGATGAATGAGCTTTTGGCTTGATAATGATGATGGTTATGCTGAAAAATATGAAAAACTAGTCGATGAGTCGGCTGACAGGATAAATTGACCATGATAAAATGCATTCGGTTCCAACGTTGGGACTAAATAGCAATGAAAGAAAGCTTCTTTCAACTGAACGCGAAATTATGATTTTCAAATAAATAGCAGACCAGAGAAAAGAGAATGAAAAATAAAGAAAATAAGCAGAGAAAAAATGATAAACTGAAAGCGACAGACGAAAAGTTTTATGTGTTGGAAAACTTTAGATGCAAACTTATGTGTAGATTTTACTCAATGATTTGTGCACTTTTTGCTCTGTTGATGTCTCTCGTTTCGTTTCATGAGACATAGAGAGCTAGTGGAAAGAAACGATGTGAGATTGAAAGAAAAAACTACGACAGTTTTCAGGCATTTTTCTTCTTCCACCAAAATATAGCGTTGGATTATTTTCAGTGCGGTCGAATTGTGAAATTGTCTTTTATCCATGAGAATGTTCGGTGTTGATAACACAAGTACCACTGAATCCTGAATCTGAGAGAGTGAAAGAGCGCATTGTGAATGTGGTTATTGAGAATGGAGGGAAAATAACAAAACACACATATAAACACACACACAGCAAATATGAGATAGAGAGACATGGTCTGTATGCAGATAGACAGGCAGAAAAGAGCGTAAAAGAATCAACTTGATAAAATTCATCTGTCTGAATGGCTTTTGGAATGATCGTCAATGTGGCGGGTAACCAACCATCACACACACACACACATGCACCATCATACGTATGATGGAGTGTGACGATAACTAATAACTTAAGCAAGCATTCCCAATGAAATATCACTCTTTCCCTTTCTCACTGCAATCAACATTTGCATACATCACAATTCGCATGTGTATATCATACATTGTATGGCAATGCGAGAGCAAAAAAGACGATGAAGAGAACGACGCAACGCAATCTGCATATATGTCGAATCGAAAAATTGTACTTTATTTTGTAACATCTTCATCGTTTGCTGCTTTTTAGTATAGTTGCACTTCGTTCGTCTCTTTTCGTAACTCTCCTTCATTGTTGTTTCTTCTTTTTTCGTTCGTATCTTTCAACCGCTCTGTCTCTATCTGCCTGAATGCAAATCCCAGTGAAAACTCTCTTCGAACAAGATAAAAAGTAGTTTTACCCACATATCCTGGTAACTTAAAACTGTGTGTTCGGTTCGGTGCTCATGCCATTGCCCATGTTCTTTTGCCACAAACACATTCCATCTCTATGTATGTATAGTTTTCAGTATGTTGGCATGTCGCTCACTCATTGGCCATTGTCGATGTGATTCCTTTTTCTCTTCGACCATTTTATTCGATGAGATACATTTGTGCTACTGCTGCTGTTGTTGAGAAGCACATTCACTTATTATGTGCCTTTTGTATTTATGAAGCATTATTTTTTATAACTTTTCTATCTTGTGTTTGTTTACTTGTTTACTTGTTTGTTTGTTTGTTGTGTGTCATGTGTGAGTGTGTCTATTGCCTGTTTATTTGAGACTCTCTTTCTCTCTGCCTCTCATTCAGTTTCAGTCATGTCATTTTATTGTTTTCCTGTGAGAAATTTTTCCCACTTGGTTATGATGTAATCATTGCTATCACCGTATTAGTATTCTGGAACTGTTGACAAGCATAAAAGTAGTTGGAAAACTGTTTGTCATTCGCAGTCTCAATTAAAGTTCTCTCAATGTTGTTCACATTGAAAATTTCTACATACCGAACCGACGACAGAATGAGACCAAAGAGAGCGAGCCACACACAAATACGCACACACACACACACACACACACACACACACACACACACACACGTTGTTCATATGTATAATGTTAAAGAACATGTAATAACATGATGCAAATGTGGCATAATAAATGTGCATCTCAATTATCAGCTCTTTCAACGGACACTGGGATTTGGCACACACACACATACACACACACACACACACACACACACACACATATATACGACACCCTGAACACAACAAAATAACATGAAGCATCCAACCAAATAAATAAGTTACACATTTGCAAAGGGCATTAATGCCAAATGACGGCATGAGAAGAAAAACCTTTCCTACAAAACCTGTGCGCAGAACACAAACACAGAAATTGTTTAGTCAAAAGGCGAACAGCAAATTTGCGAGCGCAAAAACCTAATATATTTACAGCGAGCGCAAAAGCATAACAGGCCTACTTATACGGAGTTTGCATGCTAGTAGACTTGTTATACTTTTGCGCTCGCTGTAAATATATTAGGTTTTTGCGCTCGCAAATTTTCTGTTCGCCTTTTTACTAAAAAATTTCTGTGTTTGTGTTCTGCGCACAGGTTTTGTAGGAAAGGTTTTTCTTCTCAGGCCGTCAAATCAGTTTTGCTTTTCAGTTCTTTTGCAATGTGATGATTTAACGAGGTGTCAGTAAGCATGAAAAGTGTTAACGAATCATCTTTTGCATGCACATTTTGCATGGAAGACAGTGTTTGGGTGACGCAATTGCACTACTATAATTGCTTCGCCAGAATACTATTTCCAGAATATTGAATGATTCTCACAGACATCTAAATCGACACACTATCAAGGGAAAATAAGCATAGAACTCCTCTAATTGGCGAATCGACATTTATATTTGACGTTTGCCCAACACCACGCCATATTGAACATTTCCAATTAGTAATTTGACATTTGTTTAGCTCCAATTAAATTTTATTTTACATCAGTTCCAATCGACACGTATTTTTATTCCTCATCGTCATTCGAATTCAAAACGAATTGATCATTTCAATCGTCCTCGACAATCGTTTCATTATTATGCATTTTACAACCAAATGTGCGAATTTCCAAATTCCAAATTTATCACAATTGCGTGATAGTTTTTTTTCCTCATTTAGAATTATGTCTCGTATGTTTTTGACAGTAAATCATTAACGCCTTTTTTAATTTTTCTCTCTATCTCTCTCTTTCTCTTTTTTTTTTTTTTATTCTAAAATTCAATTCATGTATCCCTTGCGGTAATACGGGGTAAATTGATGTTAATAACGTAATCGAAAACGGATAAATATCGTCGGTTGTTGCATTTGTATTTTTTTTTTTTTGTTCTGTGTGGATGGCATTCGATTTATTGTTGGAAATGTCAACAAATTAAATCGAAATAAAAATGTGCTTTAAATTGCACCATACACTCATACACGTACTGAAAATAGGAGGCGGCAACATGCGTGGAGATAACAAATGGCCACCCGAAGAATACAAGAAACAAAGCGAAATTGAAAATGAGCAACGCAGACAATTGGCGTTAGGACCGGCGTTCCGGCCTCGGCGAGTTAACAAAGTGATTTAATTTTTTTTTTTTTTTAATTTTAATTGTGTGCGCGTGTGTTTGTTTGCCCGTTAAATTTAATTACTAACATTTCAAACGTTATCCGAGATCAATGAGGTTGTGTAAAAACTTCAATCAGAATTAATTTGGTGTTTAATGTTTAATGATTGGCTGAAACTTGTTGACTTTATTTCCCGATTTATAGCATGACACATTCGAACGAAACACAAAATTGACCACAGCAAAAAAAAAAAAATGAACACGAATTTCATTATTGCATTGACTTTTACTCGAAGCTTTATTTGTTGTTGTTGTTTTGTCAACCAATCCGAAAACTTCCCATTTCGATTTGTGCATTAATATTGAATGAAATATTTTTTTTTATTTTCAGGATTACACACCGTTCTTCAACCGCCACGCTTTAAACGCAACTTACCCTGGATATAAGGCACCACCAGGCACCCAACACTATGGTTATCAATACCCTCAATATCCACAATATCCACAATTTCATAAATAAATAGCAACACCAATGTTGAAAATCATCAATTGAAACAAATAAACTCTGACCATCAATTGAATCAAACTACGACGAAGCAAAGAAACATAATGATAAACACTTTTTTTTTACATAATTCAATTCATTTAGGTTGTTTTTGAAATAATTCAAGAGGAATTACTTAATTTTTGTTTGTTGAACACTAATCCATGGTTTTCTTTCATTTTTTATGAACGCCTTGCTACGGGACTATTGCTTATTTGCGACTTTTTACATTTAAATTTTAGATTATTAACGAAAACATACAAAAAAAAAATGAAAAGAAAAAACGAAAAAAATAATGAGAAAAAAATGAGAAAATGCTGAAAAGGACAAGAGACAAAATGTTGATTATTCATTGGTTTAATTGGTATTGGTAATAGATTTGGTTGTATTGGTTGTTAAATTGATTGTACAATGTAAATATAGGGCCAAAATATTGTATTTTATTTGTATTTTCCGGTCGAAAAAAAAAATCAGTAACAAACTGTGAACCGAGAACATTTTGGGCAAATGTTTGGAAATATTGTGACGGATTTTGCTTTATCATTGAGCATGAGAACGGATTGATTTGGCACTAGTAAAATGAACTAGTGAATACAAAAAGTTAAAAAGTAATGCGAATGCATCGGATGAGCGGCGAGTATATTGCGGATTTCATCACTATTGGAAATATCGAAAATCCCCTGTTTGGATACTTTGTTTATTACGGGACAGAAAAGCATTTGAGTTGATTATTATCGCATACAAAACGTGAAATAATAGTCAAGTCCCGGAAGTGTTTTTTTTTTCTGCGCTGTGATATACAGAGCATCCGTGGTGTTTATATTGTAATCATGACAATTTCCTTGAGTGATGTAATTTTCAATGAATTTTCCATTTTCGATTCAGTTCGTTTCATATTGCTATTGACATTTATTGCCGATTGATTGGCTGCATTTTGACTAGTGTTGAAACAATTACACGCTACTCTCCGTTCAAACAAAATTGAAATAATTTACAATATTTCGCTGTTTGCACATCAACAATCGATGATCTATCGATGTGGAAAAAAAATGCTGCATTTTCCGGTAAATTCAACTGCATAATTATACTTATTTTCATGCAAATAATTGAATTGTTTGTATTTCATTCGAAAACTCGGCCATAAAATGTGTGTGAACTTTTTTAATCGAATGAGTTAAATGAAAATACCAATGGTATTCTTTTTACTGGTTTTGCAGTATAACGTATCGTGGTTTATCAATCGAAATGCGATTTTATTTTGATGAAACAATCATTCAATCGGTCAAAATGACATCAATTAAAATAAACAATTTGTATGAGTTTATTCCATCAAAAAGTTCGCATATTAGAGGATTCTTTTGTGCGTCCGTTGACATTCAAAAGTGTCAAAACCCATTCAAAAACGCATCATTTTCATGAAAGTAAACAGGAAATTGCGAGATAAAAGCGTGTTTGAATTGTATCGGTCAACGCACACAAAAACCGCATCTCTTTGTGCTTCGTTCATTTGTAAACAACACAATAGCTGCCAGCCAATGATTGGCGGTGGAAAGGTGAGGAACAAAAAACACACACATATTGACCATCATGCAGAGTGCCGCCTTTGATTTTGTCTGTTTATCCAATTGGGAAATATTAATATAATATAGTATAGCTGGCGGGCAAAAAACGCCAATAATTAACATAAATCAATGGGAAACATTTTTATCACCGTTAAAATAAATAAATCAAGCAAACAAACTATCCGCAAACATCATTTGCTCAATAAATGATACGTGAAAAAAAAAAACAATAACAACAACACGCACACGGACCCAATTAACGCGGGCAACGGGATGAAAATGATTGAATTCATTTTAACGGTTAAAAACAATGTTCGGCCACAACCATCCATGAAAATAAAATATTTTATCGCTTAATAACATTTTCGAATTTCATATTTAGTGGGAATTTAAATTTAATCAATTTGACATTAGGGATAATTATTTGTTTAGTAGCCACTGTTATTTGTTGTTGTTGTTTCATTCGATAGCAAGAAAATGAAAATGGAGAACTTTAAATAAATGTTATGCTTTCTGCTCAAAATGATATCTGCTCTTGCCTTGTCATGCAGAACGGTTTAAAATTCATTTTGATATTGATTGATTGAATACTGTTGATTTGTTTTGACGTTTTCTTCTCTACTTTTTCATAAAACAGCAAAATTGCTCTGAGGATAGACAATGTCTAAAGGGAAAAAAAGGACCAAAATTTTTTTTTCATAGAAAATATAATTAGATTGTATCATATAAAAAAAGAATGTAAGTTTCAAGCTATTGACATAGAATTGAGTGACAGAGACAAAAAAAAAGAACAACCAAAAAAATATATGATGAAGCAATTATATGAATAGATTTGTACTGTACCTTATGTTTAGAGCAGATGTTGATTGAAGTGAAACTTGATCAAAGCAACAAAATGTTACAAATAATCCTACGATATGCGCTTTAAATAAATCGATCTATTTTCTTATGTGTTAACAAGACACGGTATGTTATTTTTTTTTTTTCTTCAAATTTGTATTTTCAATTTGCAGTCGCATTTAGTGTTGTAAGTATATCATATATCTTGTGATTGAATTAAAAAACCATCTGATGTGAAAATTGAAAAATCGGCTTCGGTCATCAATTTTCATTTGAATGTTGAACAGATTGAAAAAAAAAAACCTTGTTGATTTCGCAGTGGTAGGTAGATTCTTTTTTATTCCTTCTTTCTCTCCACATACACAAGCTCACAATTCAAAATCCATTCGATTTGCAGTGATTCTTGTTATGTCTGGTAATTAAATTCTATTCATTTTTGTCTGATTTGTTATCACAATTATTCTAAGTTTACAGAAATCTCATGTTTCGTTATTATATTTTGAGTTTTTGCCAAACACCACCATTTAAAATGGACCACAGAAACAAAAAATATTATTTTTTTTTTTAAATTATCTACTCGTTTTTTTGGTACCAGCAAATGAAAAAAAGTGGGAGAAACAGCACATTTATTTTACAAACTGAAACGAATAGAAAAATGATGCTGAATAATGGACACAAATTTCCCGTTTTCGAATTAAACATTTTAAATGCATTGACAAAAAAAAAAAACAAATTAATTGCGGCTTAGTTGTGGTTTTTGTTGTTGTTGTTACTTTATATTTGGTTTTTTGCTCTTGGTTATGCTTAATTGCCTCATCTAATTAATTATAATTTGCACGATAAAAAAAAAACTGGAAAATTGAAATTTTCTTTTGAAAACGATTGAAATACGTAACAAACAAATGACAAATGTCACATTATCTCATTAACAGTTTTCAATTTCCCTGTTTTTTTTTTTTATTTCCGTGTTCATTTGCATTACACTACATTAACCGGATAAATTCATTCTGTCAATCATTGCCTGGACAGAAAAAAAATCTAAATAAAATATTCAATGAAAATGTTAACTTTCAGTTTAAACACATTGAGTAGAAAATGCATGTAAATTTTATTGCTAGCACACATTTTGTTCGCCACACCGTTCAATAAACATGTTTTGTTTAACCACCCTCGTCACCAACGGTGCCATATAGTGAGAGTGCAAAAAAAGAGAGAAACCATTGGCATGGCCAATGGAAAAGAAGCCCTACGTATATCTTTTTTTTTCCTATAAAAATGCAGTCATTTTCAAAAAAAAAAAAGTAATAACATACATATTGCCATTGAAATCAAATGATAGCTTCCACTACAACAATATCAGAAAATATACTAAATTCACTGGCTATTTTGTTCTGTTTTGTTTTGTTTGTTCGTGTACGTATTAAGGACAATTCGTCAGATGCACTAAACTGCATCCATCATAATTCAAGATATTATATTTATTAAATTGATGTTTTACTTTCGAAGAAATTCATGCTGTCGATTCACACCTAAATTGTGACATGCAATGAAGTTCAGATAAATTTTTTTGCTTTTTCTTCTTCTTCTTCTTGGCGTACAATTATCAGCTACTATTACACATACTTGATTATTATATGGATTTTCGATTTTTGATTTTGATTTTCACATGTTGCAGTTGTTGCGGTTATTTTTATTCATGGCTGTTAATTTCTTCTTCTTTTTTTTTTGGTGTTCGTTCATTGGGTGCAATGTGCGTCACAACAGTATCCTTATGAGTTGTCATTGTCCATTTCGACTTCATTTTTTCCATCGCCTTTATCGCCTGACACTGATGCCTGTTGACTTTGATCATCGTTTTTAATGGCTGTGGTACCATCATCATCTTCTTCCTCCTCCTCTTCCATCAACTTTCGTGCTAGTTTCAATGCTTCGAATTCATTGTAGTGCAACTTTCGTCGCTTCTCAAAGTCTAGCCGCCGCTCTGCTCAAACGGAAAAATATTTGATTAATCACATACAGACTATAAAAACGAAACCGTATTGAAGTAAACTGAACACAAAATAAGATATAAATCTTACGCTTTTCTTCTGGCGTCTCATAACTTCTTTCGTCTTCTTCTGAACTTTCATCAGCATCGTCTGTCTCGTCCAATGATTTTCGCGGCTCTGATACTTTCAACCTAAGAGTAAAGAAAACATATTTACTACGCCACTTGATGCGTTTTATACGACAGCAAAAACAAAAATAACGCATGTTCATTCCATGTGAATGTTTATTCACATTACAATGATTATGAGCAAATGCGCAACGACCCGAACATTCATACAATTGACACGAAGTTCGTGCGTTTCTCATATTCAAAATGTAATTATTAATTTTTTTTTCTTTCTTCTCATCAGTGTTCACCACACCCTCAGCACTTAAAATACGACAAAATCATTTGAAATTGTCACGCGCTTGGAAGAAAATGCGTCTAAAAAAACCAATATGAAAAGCAGTCGTCGATATGACGACGAAAAATAAGAAGAAGAAGAAGAAATACGCATCGAAAAAGAAATTGTTTACCGTTCGGCCAGAACGTCAGCGTCAATTTGGTCTAAGATTTGGTCGTCGGGATTGGCATAGTTGTACGGTGTCTTTGGTTCTTCGACCTTCATGTGGCCATAGTCCTTGTCGACTGGATGGTATGTTTGCATCACATTTAGTTCATCGAATTTGGTGCTCTTTCTCCGTCTATTCCATGCACATCCGATCAATGATGCAGAAAATAATGCAAACAAAAACAAAATCACATTTTTATTTTCAAATAAAATACACGTATGCGAAATTCACTGGAAAAATTAATTCAAGTAGAAACTTATTATGAGAGGGAAAAAAATCCGACAACATCGAAACGAATAGAGCAAGTGAAAATGGGGAAAAAATCGAATGTTAGATACTCACTGCGATACTGAATGTTTGTCAAAGCTACTTGATGTTTTCAAAATACCCTTACAAGGTTTCTTTGCTTGATGTTTCTCCGGTGATCCTTGAACATTACAATCCATTTTTTTTGCTTTCTATGTCGTTCTTGCTGCTGCTGCTGCTGCTTCTGCTGCAAACTATCCATGTAAAATGTAAAAAAAAGAGAGCCAGGCGTATTAATACAAAGGGGCAAAAAGTAGCAGTGATAATACAGAACAACAACAAACACACGGTGCATCGTTATTAATAGAATTGCAATACTAATAAACGAAATTTTCCACTAATCAGTACACGTGCCATACTCACAAAATGTTAATTAAATGAGCCGATAGTTTTCAAGTCAATCAAATAATAATTTGCAATATTTGCACTCAATATTATCAGTGGATTTTACTTGAACAACTCACTTTATTTTCGCTCTTTCGTTTGATTGTTTTTTCTCCTCCTTTTTCGACGTACAAAATGATGCACATTCCGTAGCTGTCAAGTCTAGACTGCACAACACACCTTAACATAGCTCAAGCATGGCGTCATATTTTCTTTTCAACACTCATTCCCTATTCAAGCTGAACAAATGTCAACCACTATAATCGCACCATACAAACACATTGCAAAATCTACTGTCTATGGCCAATTTTGATCAATTGCTATTGAAAACCATATAGAATAATAAAATTAAATGATTTTAAATTGATTTTCATGGATTTTCATGCCATCCAAATTATATTTAATAGATGAGTTGCTGAATGTTCAGCACGACAAGCATTGTCTAACGTAATTTTGTTCAGGAATTGTACAGCCCTGCGCACGAAAAATGCCAGTCAAAAGCTGAATGACGCCATGTTCCATTTCGTTGAACGTAAATGTCATTTTGAATTTGAAAACTCAACTGTAAAAAACGATTGAACGTCCTACGGAGAGCATCACTTTGATAGTTGTTTTGCTGAAAATGTTGTAAAAAGTGGCTGTATTCATAAGAGAATCTCGGCAAATTCATTATTTTTACTGACATTATTTTTACTGGCGATACATTGATTGAAAATCATTTTTACATCATGAAATCTTCGTGAGTATTTTTTTGTGTGGATATTGTGCAAAAAAAAAAATGGTGCATCGTTTGCTCAAAGTGTGATCACATTTGCAAGCAACACATTCGGTTTGAGCATTGTTGTTGCTATATTCGTAGGAATGCAATTTAATCGCATGACAGCAGTAAAAGAAGTGTTTTAATTCACATTTTAGCATCTTTGAATTTAAAAGTAGTGTTTTTAAGATAATTTTCAAATATTTTTCATACAAATAAATTAATTATTTTTCGTTCTATTCAATCTAGAACCTTCCGGACGCCAGCTCGTTTGGTGCCAAAGACGCCAATGAGTCGACAAAATTCAGCGGACTCTGTGACCGATCCGGTACAGGTATATTGTCGTGTTCGCCCGATAAATAATCCAAATGAAGCATCATGCGTTGAGGTCGTTTCGTCGAAGACAGTCAGTTTACGGCCACCAGAAATGGCAGTCAATTATAAAACAATGCGAGAAATGCAGTATACATTTCAGCATGTATTCGGGCCACATTCCACACAGCGTGAATTGTATGAACGCGTTGCACAGCCGTTGGTCGAAGCATTGATCAAAGGGAAGAATGGTTTGTTGTTTACGTACGGGGTGACATCCAGTGGTAAAACGTACACAATGACAGGCAATCAAGAGAATCGTGGCATCATGCCACGCTGTTTGGAGTCATTGTTCAAAACGATTTCGGATTTTCAAACCAAGAAGTATGTCTTCAAGCCGGACCGATTGAATGGCTTCGAAATTTTGTCCGAAGAGGATGCAATGCGTGAGCGGCAGATTGAAATGAATGCTCGTTTCGGTAAGACACAACGGCGCAAAGATTCTGATCCCGAAATTGCGTCGCAAGCATCGGCTGAAACATCGATTTTGGCTGGCATCGACGAGGACAACATGTATGCCGTGTTCGTGACCTATGTTGAAGTGTACAATAATTCAGTGTATGATTTGCTAGAGGAGGGGCCCGATCAGAAGACATTACAAACGAAAATTATTCGTAATGACAACTTGAATGTAATGTATGTGCATGGCGTGAATGAAATCGAGGTGAAAACAGTAAGCGAAGCAATCGATGCATATCACTTGGGACAGAAGCGTAAGCGTACCGGTCATACACTCCTCAATGCGGAATCGAGTCGGAGTCATTCTGTGTTTACGATTCGCTTGGTCCAAGCACCAACCGATAGCCGTGGCGAACAGTTGATTCAAGATCGTCGCAAAATTACCATCAGTCAATTGTCGCTGGTCGATTTGGCCGGCAGTGAACGTACCAATCGCACGAACAACACTGGCGTTCGACTTCGTGAGGCTGGCAACATCAACAACTCGCTGATGACTCTGCGCAAATGTCTGGAGACACTTCGTGAGAATCAGTGCACAAATTTGCAGAAAAAAGTTCCGTATCGTGATGCGAAAATCACACACTTATTCAAAAGCTATTTTGATGGCGAGGGTCAAGTTCGAATGGTGGTTTGCATTAATCCACGTCGAGAGGATTTCGATGAAACGACGGTAAGTGACATTTATTTCAACTGTGACTTGAATTCATTCTATGAAAACTTACGTTTCGTTTCGTTTCGAAAATTGTCACAAATATTTGATGAAATTCAAACAAAATTGTTGCGTCAACATTTCAGCAAGTGATGAAGTTCGCCGAAATGACACAAGAGGTGCAAGTGGCACGGCCAACACCAATGAAAACCGACCTTGGATACACTCCTGGTCGTCGCAAGGCGAATCAAATATTCAAAATGGCTATACACAATTTAGAGGAAATGGGTCGTGCTGATGCAAAGAAACTCGACGTTGACATTGGTTTGGTATACAGTCTTGGGCCAAAGTTCCCCGACTACCGTCTCATTTCACCAGAAACGGACGAGATTATTGTCCAATTGATGCAACATTTGGATCAACGCATTCAGAAACGGTCCACATTATTAGATGATTTCAGTGCCAGACGTAAGTTCTAGTCATTTTTGCCAAAGCCGAAAAATCTTCATGCAAAATGATAATATTACAATTCTTTCAAACAGAAAACCAACATCGAATGCAGTTGGTGCGCACAGAGCAAGAGATCAATACGCTTAGAAGCGAAAATACTAAATTGAATGAAATGCTGAAGTTGGAACGCAGTCGCACCGAAATTCATGAAAAGAAAATCGGTTCGATGGAATTCAAAATCGAAGAGCTGAATCGTAAATTGCGTGAACGTGAGAATATGATCAAGGATCTGCAAACACAAAACAATCAGAAACAATGCAACATCAAAGAGATGGAAATGGAACAACAACGTCTCAAACAAAGGTATCAATCGCGATATGCCGTTGAGACCGAAAGAACCAATCAAAAATTGGCAAAAGAATACAAGGAAAAAGAAGATGCATTGAATGTAAGTGCTTCAAATGAACTTCTTGGATTAGCTGTAGATTGAAATGGAAATAATCATAGAAATTCTCTTCTTTAGGATGAAATTCGTTTGAAAAATCGCAAGATTCGTGAAATCAAAAAAATAGCTGAAGCTGAAAATATTGAAAATGTCGCAGAGCCTGTATTGAAAATGAAAGAACGTTCGGTGATTTCCAGTTGGATTGCGTCGACGCCCAGAACCAACAAATTTTCAGGCATTGAAAGTGCCATACCAAGAACACTTCGGGTAAGTCAATATTCGGGTGCATGTCATTTGGTTGGACAAATTATCTTTAACCCACATTTTTCTACCAAGGCCAATCTCATCCTTGGTAGAATTTGTTATTGGATTAATGTTGCGTTACGGTAAAACGGTAATAATGTTCGTTCTTCGACCAATTTTCAGGGTGTTCCTGTTGCAAATGTTCGTCATCGTCGCTCTCGGTCAACTGATGAACGCTGGTTAGAGCATCGAACACCGAATCCAGTTCCACTTGGAACCATTTTCCAGCCGTACTACAGAGCTCGCAAGTCAATCACAAAATTGACCGACGCCAAGGATTTGATTAATGCAAAATCGTCGAAATACTGTTTGGTTGCACAGGGCGCGGATACAGACGGCGAGGTTGAAACCCGATTGTACAAAGGCAATGTGATTCCAACGTGCGGGGGCGGCGCACAGGTCGTCTTCAACGACGTCGAATGTTTGAAACAAAGATCGCCGGTTACATCACCACGTCGTAAGCGTCCCAGCGTTGAAGAACCAACACAAAGCGCCAATCCAGAAGAGATCACATCGCGCTGCAGCATTGGCATTCAAGGAAAGAAAACAAAGTATTAATTGAAACTACCTTCCACATAACACGATATCGACTACTGGCATATTTGAATAATTTTAAACATGAATTTTAATTTTTAGATAAGCTCTCATTAAATAAAACGAAACGATGCTGATTAACATTGAGTTTTTTATTTGAAATTTTTTGTTTTGAAAAATTATTTATTTTTCTTTTGTAATTTAAGCTCTTTTAACTATGGCTGTAGCTGCCAAAATGATTATCAAAACCTTCCAACCAAAATTTGTCAATTTATTGTGTGATGGGTTTGATGCAATGGCTTCGTTCAGCTTGTAATTGACTGCGTCCAGCTGACCCTGGAGTGATGCATTTGATGCCATGGCTTCGTTCAGCTTGTAATTGACTGCGTCCAGCTGACCCTGGAGTGATGCATTTGATGCCATGGCTTCGTTCAGCTTGTCATTGACTGCGTCCAGCTGACCCTGGAGTGATGCATTTGATGCATTGACTACGTCCAGCTGACCCTGAAGTGATGCGTTTGATGCCATGGCTTCGTACAGCTTGCGATTGGCTGCGGCTAGCCGGAGTTCGTATGATTCGATCGATTCTGCGGCCACAGAACGTGTTCGGTCGTCACCATGACCATTGTCTGCTCCGACTGAAATTTAAAGAAAATATTATTGTACACGGGGTTTTATTTTTCAAGCAAAATCAATTTCAATCAATATCCAAAATTAAAAACCTTTTTTTATAGATTTTTTAAAAATCATCGTAAATTTGTCTTGGTCAAAACGAGAATAACTAATGTGAATGTTTGACGTCTTAAATTTCTCCACTCAAAATGTTGAGTTTGAACAATTTGAAAAGGGGAAACAGAAGAATATACTATGTCATGGTGATTTTAAAAAAAATGTATACAAAAAACTCATACATTTAAGTGTAGGTAATGAGTGTGATTGAGCGTATGTGTGTATATTTATGTGTCTCTTTCGCGTGTGCACCACCAATTTTCCAAATTAGTATGAGTAATTTGCCCGTTTGTCGTTCATCATTTTCATATCGAATGTGAATGAAATCCAATGTTTTTTTTTATTTCGGTGTAAAATGAAACAAAAACATCACATTTTCAAATATGTATACATTGGAATTGTATAATCAAAATTCAAGAGAGAGAAAGAGAGCGAGCGCTACGACGACGACGACGACGACGACCGAATAGAAAAAAAGAAGAATTCACTCTCTCAATTGTCCTCTCTGTCGCACAGCACACAGATCAAAATCGACATTCGAACGCGGTGCCCGCTATATGCTTGCTTGCTTGCCCGAGAGTAAGTCGCTCACTTGAAAATCATTGTGTATTGTAATGAAATATAAGTAGACTCTCCATTTTTGGTGTTAAAAAAAACACACACACACACATACAACGAGAGAAAAAGTCAACAAAAAATCTGCAAAATAATCATTTTTTGCCAGTAAATTTTTAAATGCCATCAATTTATTGTTGTTGTTGTTATTGTCTGCGATATTTACAGGCATTTTTATGAAGAGAAATTCTTTCCACACATAATGTGATTAACGAGACAGAAAATCGATGAAGAGAAAGAAAAAAAAGATCAAGAGAACATTGTGTCGGAGTGAAAAAAAACCAAAACAGCAATGAAAAACATGATTATTATTTTTCCGAAGTCACAAATGTGAAATTGAAATGGAAATGAAAATTGAATTGGAGAAAAAACACGCATTGAATAATGAATCGATTTCGATGCCAAATAATTTGCCATTCAATATTACGTTTCGTTTTGATTCTTTTTTTCTCATTTGCTTCGTCGTTAAAATGTTTTTTTTACCTTCAACTATAATGGGAATGTTTGGATTTTCGGCTTCCATGGTTTCTGATTATGTCGTATCGCAATGAGAGATAAACCGAAAAGAATTAAACACGTGAAGTGGAATCAAAAATGCATTTTGGCTGTCAAAAATTCTCTCAAAGTTCATCGCCATACGCGGTGATTAATTTGAGTGGTGAGAAATCGAAGTGGTGAAAATAACTAAAAAATCTGATATTTCAATAAATTTTAAATTCAAAATTCTGATATCTTCCTAGTAGTTCTATTGCGTAATAAAAAAGAAAACAAAATATAAAAACGTATATTCAGAGAAGGAAAACAGCCTTAGAATCGCCCATCAATTTTTTTGTGTGCAAAGTACCAAAATTTGAAATGAACATAATAACACCGATAAAGCAGCACAAATATGGTAAACAGTACAATCTGCAGCGCTTTGATGATTGGCTCACGTTGTGAAATGTCAAATCAGATGTTCCCGCGCTCAAACTTCTGTGATTTAGTTCAAGCATGCGACATTCATACTCACACAAAGCGCATTTCAAATTATTGTTATGACACCGAATCGTATTTGTTTACTGTTTTTTCGAAGTGTTTTAACCGATTAAGATATAAGCAATAGAACTCAAGCATTACTTAGTAAATAGAAATAGTTAGCGGGTCCAGAGATAAAAAGAATATTTGGCTGAAATCACGATGGCTACGTCGCCACAACAATCATCACCGCTTGTGACAAAAGGTCTCGATATTTATTTGGAGAATAAAAAGAAGCGAAACTACCTCAAATGGGGGACCATTAATGCGGTGGTGTTGTCGGTGATGATGTATGACATCAAGAACAAATGTCCGTTTGCATACTCGAATTGGTATTACATTGAATATGCGGCTGCCGGCTTATTAGCATTCAGCGTACTGTACTATTTCATCAAATACATTTTCCTATGGCTCACATTTGAACCAATCAAAGGCACCCAAGCACAACAAAAATTGCTACATTTCGATGATGGAGGTAATTGAACATAACCTAATCTTTGAAAACAAGCGAACTTTTACGTGATTTTTACTCCGTTTTTACGAATAGACTCATCATTTATCGTTCAGCAGCAAGAAAAAGTCGATTCACAAGCTCCAATATCCAGCCCATTGGACACATCCTCTATCATAAGTTGGCATTCGTCATTCAATGAAGGTAGCTAGATTTTTATTTTGTAGCAAAGCAATCATTAAATGTATTTTCAATCATCATATTTTCATTATTCATAGGTAACCGTTCACCAACAAATTCAATGTGGGGTTTCAACCGTTCGCCAGTGCATCAACAGAGTTTTAACAACAGCCCGAATCCAAATTACTCATGGAATCGAGTGCAGAACAATATGCAAAATTCATTTGGTAACAACCCGAGTCCCAATCATTCGAACAACAACTCATTCAATTCACCATACAAAACTTATACAAAGGATGAAATCATCACCGATGAGCATGGGTTGCAAAAGTACTTGAGGTGAGTATTTGAAATGTTCATCATCTTTACCTTTGAATTTGATCTCAATATAATGTTATGACAATTGCAAAAAAAAAATTGTTTTTTTTTTTGCATATTTCAGAGAAGTGGCAAAGGAAGAAACAACGGGAAATGTAAATTTCTCAAATCTTCGAGAGACTGTAGATCGTAATTCAACCAACACTCTATGGAATTATTGGAATAATGCGGCAAATCTGTTAAAAACCTCCATCTATCAATTGTCACCAACGACGATCACGCCGAACAAGCAATCAACTGGCAAAGAATTGGCTGGAAGCGTTGGTCCGGGCTGTGTTGATTTAGGTGCACCTCTTTCCGACCTCTTCAAAACCATTTCATCGGCCAAACTGACGAAATATGTGACAAATCTCCGGATGTGGTTGTCAGCGACCATTTTACAACGCTTGGTGAATGAATTTGATAAAATTGACGGTGAATTTGCGATTCGAGGTTTCTCTGACATCAAAATTGGAAGTGTTGGTTTGGAACGATTGAAGAAAACTGCCGAAAATCACATGGTATCCTCATATGTGCCAACTTTGTCGATGGTGTTGCCGTTTTTGGAAATGTCCACCAATCAAGAGTATTTAGTGCAACGTATTCGCGAATTGGCCAGAGGTAGCGGAATAAATGATTATCGATGGAATTCATCGAATTCATACGATTTGAATTGGGATGAACACGTGACAACTGACGCTGCTGTAAGTTAAATTCGATTCAACATCAGCGCAGTATTTCAGACAAACACTGATTCATTCTATTTTTTTTACCATTTTTAGATTATATTCCATTTATTCTGTTCCTACATGGATAGTCAATTGAACCCGTTGCCAGCACCAGGTGGTCGGCCATTTTTCAACAGATACGTTGTACTCGGTGAAAAGAAATCGCTCAAGGAAACAATTGAAGAGGTGAAGTCCAAGTCAAAATGTGCCATTTCATATACGAATCCAACGAAGCCAAAATTCAACTTCATTAGCGACGACAAAGTCCATCACTGCAATCATGTAAGAGAACCAATTACAACAGGAAATTTTGTCAGTTGTTGGTTGACAATTGTTCAACATGCAACATGCTCATCATTTTTTTCTCTTTCTTCACAGGATCGAAACAATCTGTTCTGTGTCATCATTCAATTTCTCATTTACATGAAGGAACGGAACGCGGGTCTACTGGACGGAGTCAATTTAGGCCGAAGTGGATTGAATATTTTAGGAGTAATCGAAGATTAGTTAAGAAATTTCACTCAAGCATCATCATTCACCAAGATATGAAGAAAAAAAAACATAACGAAAGGCTGACTCTCTCAATCATAATAACAACAACTCATTTCATAAGAATAAAATTCAAGCAGACAGAAAAGAAATAAACATGTTCCTTTCAAACAAATAAAAATTGATGTTGTTTTGTGACTTGTTATCAATGCATTGCATAAATTGGTTTTTGTGTGCAGTGTGCACTGTGCATAAATATGTGTCACGCGTCCGAAAACGGTTACTAGTTTTTATGTGAAAAACGTGACCACCAAAATCATGCACTCATTTACCAGTCGAATACTACGGTAGAAGAGGAATACAAATATGGACTAAATGCATCGATGCAAGGGAACTATGCAGATAAAAAAAAAACAAAAACTCAATGTACGATTGATTTTTTTTTTTCGAAAATGTGTAGAGAAACAAAATGGCATTCAACGAATACACAACGAGCTATTGAGGCAAGGGAGAACCGACCGTAGTACAAAACCAAAGTGAAAAGCATAACACAAATATTGTTCGAAAAAAAAGAAGAAGAAGAAGAATCAAACTACACACACGAAACGTTCGTGTAACCGTATGGAATGCGAAAGTGGTAGCAAGCCAAATTGCCCGAGAAATACGTGACTTGTTTTTGGCAGACTCGGTCGGTACGTGAAAGAAGAGTCAAGCATGAGAATCGTGCGCACGAACACAACCATACGGGTGTGCGTGTATGTATGCACGCCATTCAAATAAACACGCACACGGACGACGACAACGAGCGCGTTTACAGGCATTCGTTTATGGTTTGGTGTGCGTTTAAATGCGATGTCGTGACAGTCATTTCGTACATGTCATTTGCTGTGTTCGGTTAGCATTATCCAAATAAAAAAAATAAACGAAAAAATAACAAACCATCGAGTTTCATTTCATTTATTTTTCCCAATTTTTCTATTCGATAATTTTGCCAATTGGTTTTGGAAATTGGCGTAAATTTTTTTAATGGATTTGGCCCGAGTACAATATACCGTAAATAATGAATAAAGTGCAAAAAATTCGAGACGATTTATCCCAAATGGTAAGCAAATGCGCGGAATCTTCGTTCGGTGTGTGAATATTTTGACTTTTGAGCGGAATGTTCGTGTGAAGGGACAAAAAGTATACACAGTTGTGCGTGTTCGTACATTCACATTTAGTGTGTCGGTCGTTTGTTTTTTTTTTTTCTTTCACACAAGAACGAACGTAGGCTCGTAACTGTGAACGCAACACTTCCGTACGAACCAAAACAAAAGTCACGAATTTCATACTTCTTTCCATAACGGGTCTTTCAAAACAAAACATAAGTGTAAACACAAACATGAAATTGAATCAAGTGAAATTAATTTGATTTTTTTTTTTGTTCATATTCCATTTTTCAATAGAGTCCCATGGAACGGGAAAAGCACAAAGAAGCGTTGGCCAAAAAATTGATGGATAAAGATCCGTCGGTTTATTTGGTGAAACCGGAAAAATCATCAAAAAGTTGCGCTTGGGGTGCCGACTGTTTTTCGCTCATTTTCAACAATAATGTTAAAGAAAACTACGTGTACTGCCAGATTTGCTCCAATTTGATAACGTACAATTCGGTGCATGGCACGGGCAGTTTGTTGCGACATCATTGCTACAAAAAAGTGATGAATATGCAAAAGGAGGAGCATACTATCGTGAAGACGTTGAATTTCACCGCATCACCGAAAATACTGAAGAGTCGACCGCGCGGCAATGAGAACAGCAGCCCATTGGGTGATATTCTGCTAAATTCGCCCGAGCTTAAATTTCAGCTCAAAGGACGCGACAATACGAAACAGAAGAAAGAAATCGAAGAGTTGATCGCTCGAGGTGATCCATCCATCGATATGCGTGCACCAGAGAATATCAAAAGTGAGGTGTGGAGCAATGGCAACTTCAAAATTCTCTACCAAAATGGCAAGAAGCTGGATTTTGTGATGTGCCTGTTCTGTCACTCGTTGATAACGTACAAAAGTAAAACCGGGACAGCGAGTTTGCTGCGGCATTCATGTATCAAAAGACTGACCGAAACGATTAAACGTGAACGAACACCCACCCAAGATGACAATATGCACGAATATGTAACGATACCAATTAGCGAGGAACATGCCGATGATGTGGACGCAACACAGACGACAAGTGGCGCTGATAATTTATCGTTTGACAACGAAAATGACACCGATCAAGATCAAGAGCAAGAACAGTACTTGTCCAATGAATTTCCCGAGGAGCTGAAAGAGGAAGCCATCAAATTATTCCACTACTTTAGCTTTAAAGACATGCAACCGACGAATTTGGCACAGAAAAAGGGCTTCCTCAGTTTTGGCCAATATTTGATAAATGTCGGCGCCGAATACAAACGAGTCAATATCGAAGCCCTTCTCGACCCAAAACATCCAACGGGTTTAGAGGTGGCCGAAAAATCAACGAACAACCTGCAAAAAATGTTGAAACCGAAATTTGAAGATCACAAAATTGCCTTATCCTGCGACTATTGGCATGATCCGAATCGCAAAATTAATTTCCTTACGCTATACGGCCACTACATAAGCGATTTGTTTGAAATAAAGAAAATTAATCTCCGTACGGTTAGTTTTGTTGAAGAATTTTCAACGATCGATTACAAGCAACTCATTGCATCGATGCTGGAGAATTATTTCACCAGCGAAAGCGATATCGATGCGTTTTTATCGAAAACAACGACCGTTGTGTTCGATGAAATGTTGGACTGTTTCAAATCATTTTCGACGATCAATTGTTCATGTTTGACGCTGAACCGCATTGTTATTCAATTGATTGATGAATGTGGCCTTCGTGAAGCATTGCCCAGTGATATTTTGGTAACAGAGAATTGGTGTAACATTTGGGAATATTTGTTTGACGACGCAAACATCGGCGACGAAAACATTGACACAGCGACCATCGATGAGTTCAAACGAATCCTAGATCCATTCGCCAAAGCGGTGAACATTTTAAGTTGCGATCAAAAGCCCACCATCAATGAAGTCTACATATTACGTAAGAAAATCGAGGATCATTTTCGAAATGCACGTTTCGCGAATGGTAAAATCCGTGATGTCGCCCTGAATTTGATTCGTGAAAATTTTCCAATGACAAATCTACATAAAATCGCATTATTCCTGGATCCACGATTCAAATCACTAAAATTCATGAGCCATGAAGACAAAGCCAGTGTTTTGAGTATGGTGAGTAAGATGGTTAGTTCGGACGAAAATGAAGGCAATATTATTGCCTTTGGTGAGGAGAGCAATGAAAAGCACTCAGTTCAAGCGTCTACCATTAATAAATCCAGTGGCGCATCGATAAGTTCTGGCGGAGGCGGCGACACTGCTGACAGTACAAAATATCTCATCGAATACATGGATATCGTAGAGGAACGAGATGAAACACACGATGAAGTCGAAATTTATTTGAATTTAAAATTCAATGACATCTCGACAAATATCCTAGAGTTTTGGGATACACGCTACGATTTGCCACGTCTACGACAATTGGCCCGTGAAATACTTTGCATACCCGCTTCCGGTATCGTTGCCGAAAAGATATTTTCCGGGGATGCCGTTTTGCTGACCAAGCGACGCCTCAACATGGAAATCGCAAATGTTAAGGAAATGTTGCATATCCATGAAAATTTCGAAATGTTAATGAACGTATTTTAAGAGACAACAACGCTAAGTTGTAATTTGTATTTGTAAATCGAAAACAAAGGAATTATCGAAACCAGAAAAGTGTACAATAAAGCCGCAATCGATCAAAACAAGTAGTTGTGATTTTGAAAATTTCAACAATTTTTTTTTATTTGATTCATTTTTTAACAGTTTTCTTCTTTTTTTTGTTGCTGTTGTTTGTTCTTGCTTATAAATTTATTTTAATCTTTTTTTTTTAATTTAAATTTTTTATACAATATTGTTTTTTTTTTTTTATAATTCTATCCACAATTTAGATTTAGATCTACAGTTTACAAATGAAAGGGTTTGTATTCTATTGTTGTTGTTTTTTCCTCATAAATTCTTAATTAAATTTACATTGTGTGCATTGTTTGTTAAACATAAATGTATTTGTTTACAAAATTCCACTTTTCTCCCTCGTAATGTCTAGAACTTTGTGAGTGATATTCAATGTTGTATAATTTAAGGATAAAGAAAAAAAGAAATAAAAAATGTGTTGAGACTATTCCGAGTCAATCGATATAAATCACTGTTAGTTGTCACAATTAACGAGGATATTGAGAGAAATAAGCGATTGAAGCGAATTGGCTCAACACAAATGATAAATGACGAATTACTTGTAGGTAAGCATAAAAACTAATCGAGTTGTAATAATTAAATCATTTTTTTGTGTGTATGTGTTGCACATATAAATAATGTGATTTATTTTAATTTTTTTTTTTGTTCAGTTAATTTTTCTTTTTCTCATCTTGAATTTTGCTTTTTTTGGCGTTTTAGTTTAAATCTTATATTGCGTATTGCATATTTTGTTTCTCTTTTAGATAGAAATGGGGATTAATGAAGAAATAGTGCACGGCACACGTCTTTTGCTGTTCGTCCAATCAATACACACCATAACGCAACATCGAAGATACGTGAAAGAAATCGGGTGATAGCACCGTGTGACTGGCATATTATTTCATCAGATTTGGTTGTTGTTGTTATTGTTCGAATTGATTTGTATGCGTGTGTGTATGCATGTGCGCGTGTGAATGATTGACTTGAAAATCACAGAAGGCCTCTTCAGTGTTGGTTGGAGTGAATTCTCAAACATCGGCTTTTCCGACAATCATCGGGATTCTTTGAAATTATTGCGGGCATGTGATGAAATGAATCAGAACCGCATGTAAATGTCATGATTGAGTTTTAGAAGACAAACGCACGAAATTCAGACAATATAATAATAGCGTTAGATGCAAAACAAACGAGCTGCGTCTGATTAATCCATCATGATTCTGAAGCAGTTAAAAATAAATGTCGATCAAGCCACATAAACTGATTTGTCTGCTCAAAGGCCCACTTTGTATGTGTGTGTGTGCGCGCAATAAAGCAAATTCAAATGTATGTTCAACGGTTCGTTAAATTCGCATGCAACAAAAATTCATGATTTGGCTCTCACTTTTGACATTTGGCTCATGATTCAGAACATTCCTTTTCTATTTTTTTCATGATTGTTCTTGTTCTTTACTCATCTTTTCTTTTAATTTCATTGTAAAATATTTAAAGCATAAGTTTGTTTGCCATTGCATTTTTGGAGTTTTTTTTGTTATTTTTCCTTGATGTGGCTTCTTCGTAAAAAAAATGGTTAGTTTCAAACTATATAATACGGCGCGTGTGTGTGTGTGTGTGTGTGTGGGCTTAAATATCGTGTGTTAATGCCTGGGTGATTCTCCTTAAAATGGTGTTTGCTATCAAGTGTTTATATAGTTAATGGGTTTAGAAAAGGTTTATTTACTGATCACAATCGGTTTGATTTTCTGAAGCTAAATTTTCTTTTGTCTTCCATCCCATGTACAAATTAAGATTAAGTTATTTTATTAATATTTCTCTGCCACAGTTTTTTTTTTGCTTAGTTCACTCATGGTTTCATTATGTCGTATGAACAAATTGTGTATTTTTTTAAATTTTTTTGTTTGTTTGTTATCACATTTTCCTTTTATTTGTTCTGCACATTGAATATCAATTGAATAAAAGGTGTTGTTTCTTTCTTGGGGGAGGGGGGGGGGGTGTTCGGTAGTTAACATTTATAATCCTACATAGCGAAAGTGGTCTAGTTTTTATTGCTATTTATTTTGGGATCGTTAGATAAATGAATAAGCATTTTGTGTATGTGTGTTTAATCAAATGAGTCATAAAATAGCCAACGTAAAAAAAATAAATAAATACAGAAATTGAAAAGTTGACATATTTAAGATATTATTTAAAAAAAAAAAAGAACTTTAATTTGAAGAAATGTTATCGTTTCATTCATTGTTTGGTGGTTTGCTTGTGCAACGTTTAAGATTGATGGATGGGGCAATTTTTACACTTCAGCATCAAGCTGAAAAAAAAGTAATTGCCAATTTGATTCCGTGATACACAAATCCCATCAAACCGAAACAAAGCTCTTCTGGACGAGCTCATCCAGACACACTCTGTTGGCATGCCTCAGAATTTGATAGGATTTGTGCATGATATATACCAGAAATATCATTAATCAATACAATAATAAGAAATGTGCTCGTGCATGTGCTATCAATAAAAATCTATTTAAAATGTTAGTGTTTGAATTTCACTCTACTTGCTAAACGAATTGTTTTTGTTGTTGTTGTTATTGTTTTTTTTTTTATATCTCTCTCGTTCAAATCGTTTAACGCAGACAATCAGCTCACATCAAATTATACGAGAAATCGTTAGAATAATTATGTCCAAAAGGTGAAAAAATAATTAGCGAAAACATTACTTAATCGCGAGAACATATATATTTATATATAAAACGCATTACACTCTACACATACATAAATATTAGTTTTGAGACGTATATATTGATAAAATGAATTAATTCTCACATATGATTTTTTTTTCTTTAATTTTTTTTCTGTTGCATTTACTTTATCGCCTGATTGACAATATCGAATCTAAATGTCTACTAATCCAAATAAAAATTTCATACTTTTTTGTCCCATTTTTTTTTTTTGTCGAACGCTTTCCTCCACGAATTTCAAGCGAACCGATTCAATTGGGCGAAATTCTTCGGATTTTTGATCAACCACCCCGAACAAAATCTGATCCTCTAAAGAAAGACATTTATTTTATGTTATTTTATTTGTTTTTTTTTTTTGAATCTATAAGAATAGTTTTCTGAACACATTTCCGCTGTTTTTTTAAATTTATTTCTTCTTTTTTGTTTGTAAACAATAGAATGCTCCAAAGAGAAAAGATCGTACAATTTTGGATCAATCAAAAACGATGATTTTCCAAGCATCGCAATGCCCAATTGGAGATGAATGAATAACTAACACTACATATCGTTTAATATGCTGATTGTAGCTTTTTTTCTTTTTGTTTTAAATTATTAATATGATTTATTGGTGAGTTGTGCAAAACTCACATCATCAAGTAAATGTTGGTATTCGAAGTCGATCGAATCGGCTGTCATTTCCATTGAATGGACATCGTCATTCACACACGCACATTGCATTGAAATTCGATATGAAAACGTAAATTGATGCAATTTCAATCAAATTTGGGATGTGTGTTAAACGTTCGAGTAAAATGGATGATCTTTATCTTTCTTTTTTGTTAAGTGTAATCAGGTAGTGCATTTGTGCATGCCATTTTTCTGTTGTTGTGTGTTTGATCTTATTAAACTTTGTATTGTTTTTTTTAAGCTATGTTCATTGGTGCTCATGTTTGCCAATATTGAAAATGAAATAGAATCGAATAAATCAAGGGAAATTCATTGCTGTCATTCACGCAAATTAAAATTGTTCTTTTTCGAATTCAGTTGTCAGCTACTAACAAATCTATCAAATTGAATAAGCATAATAAATGGGGTGATTCTAATTCACATTGAAACCTAGGAATCAGAGAGAAAAAAGTTCTAGAAAAAGTTTCTTCTCATCGGACATAATCGGCTGTTAAATTAATAGTTTCTTTTTTTATCTGTTCATATTGTGACAAATTGCGTTTGTTGCTGTCTGTGCTAAATTAAAACCAGTTTAATTTAGTTCTTATTAGATGCGTGCGTTTCCATTCTAAACATTGTGTTGGTGTATTTTGCTTGGGATGATACGGGGAGACTGTTGAAATACAAGATATTTCGGGTTAATGCTTCCCCGAACACATTGGCTAACACAAACACGAGCTGATTTTAGGTGGTACACAAATGGTTTAGCATTTGCGATTGTTATTGACACGGCTGATGACCTTGCAGTGCGTCATATCCGATCGCTTTTGACGACCACCCTTGCTGTTCACTTCGCGCACTTTGTTGCCACGCTCCATTGCATTGCGGCACATTTGCTGGCGACTCTTTTTGTCGTGCGCCTTCTGTGAATGCTTCAATGCAATCACTTGTTTCACCTGTTGTGCGGTCAAATGATTGGCATGACTCTCAACACGGTTGCGACCAATGAGTTGCATAGTCTGGAAAATTCAACAGAAAATACGAAAATTAACGAAATTGCCAAAAACATTTCGTCAACATAGTTGTTCAGTTTGTTGTGCAGTGAACTCACTTGGCCTGATATACGATCCAATGCCGGATGAATGGCAACATCCGGTTCTGTGTCAGCGTTTAAATCAATCACAACCAAACCATCTTGATCTTCAGCATCCTCTTCAACAGTGCTTGGCTGCATGGAACCGCGAATGCTGTGATACACCGACATGCTATGAAATTGTCGAATTTACCATTAGATATTTTTTTTTTCATTTTTCTTTATTACTTCTTTAGAGAGTGTAATCAAATTCAATCGGATTATCTTAAATCAGGCACAAAAAACGGAAATTTGAACCCACAAAAAAAAGCAGATCAATGACCTACCTTGGGTGCTCGATTAATAAATTTTCGAGCGGTGATATTTCAACGTTGATCGGATCGGTAGCGGTGAAACATGGTGGCGGTGTCACGAACCATGATTCATCCATCGAATTCGGTACTGGCGACGATGGCAATGAATTGAGAGCACCATCATGAGATCCAACATTTGAATTATTTCGACTGTGTCGCGCACGTACAGCGGGACTATTTTTTATTTCAACGAATGGAATTTCTTCTTCCGAGTCAGTTTGCTGAGGAGTACAGTCACCATCTGGTAAATAAAATCAAGAAACCAAACGATAGCGATAAATAATATGGATAAAGAATTGTTGTTGTTGTGGCGGCTAATTCTGCTAGCAAATAATAGCAGCGTTTGATGATAATCAAATAATTTACCTCCTTTCTCGACTAATAGCCACTCTTCGTCCTCATCTTCACAGCTTGTTGTTACAAACTTAAAATTATTGATTGCTTCGTCAGATGCACCACTTAATTGTTGACCGTCTTGTGTTATATCCGTTGCATTCCTATTACCATTGCCAAGTATATAAGATGCTAACGAATTGAACATTATACAGACGCCGAGGGTAGTTCACAAGTTATTTTAAGCTCTGTGTGTATATATAAATATGTTTGTGATTGTTCTTCTGTAGCTGCTCTTTTCTTTTTTTTTTTTTTAATGTTTTTGTTTACTTCAAGAAAAAGCTCACTTGTTGGTGTTTTATAAAATTACAATTTGTTTGTTTGTTCCGTTATGATGCAAAAGAGTTGCGAGCGGCAAAGAGATTTAGTGAAACAGACAGAGAGAGAGAGAGAGAGAGAGTAAAACAGAGAGCGTTGGATTGATGCAATGTATTCGTTTACTTTCTCCGTACTATTGTTGTGTATACTGATTTGTTAAATAATTTTTGTTTCTTTGGTACTTTATGGAATAGTTTTAAACTTTCTTTTTGTTCTTCGTTAAAATATGATTTGTTCTTCCTTCTTTCTCCAGATATTGAGATCAATAAATATTATTTATTTCTGTCTTGTTATTTATTTCACTTATTAAATTAGTAAATTTTTTTTTATGCTACGTGATTTCGTTTTGTTCTTTTGTTTGTTTTTTTTTTTCCTTTAATTTTTGTATTGTTGAATTTCTTAAAGCTGTTCAGTCTTCTATTTTATTTCTTGTAGTTATTTTTTTTCGTTTTCTTAATAAATTGGTTTCCTATCAAATCAAATTCGAAACACACACAATTTTATACAATTTGCACTTCACACAATTAGGTAGATTCTATCTGCTGTTGATCAACCGTCAAAATCTGTAAAGAAAAAGAAAATTGCGTGAATTAGTGGAATTAGCAAAGAAAATGGATAAAAAAAAAATCCAGCGAAATAAAATATTTGAATACGACGACACAAGAGTACGAAAAAGGTGACTTATTAGCAATTCGCAAATAGCAAGATGGAAATTTCACTTTGAAAATAGAAATCAACAATTTCTGTTGTGTCTATCCCACTTTAGATGCATATATGTTCCAAATGAATGCTCTGCCAAAGGTATCATTTGATTGGTGTGTTATTTTTCCCGTTGTCTATAAGTCAAAACAATATGATTTGATGATGTATTTTTAGTGTCATTGTAATCAAAGTCATACATTGTGCGCGGGAATTTGATACTGGACCATCGACATGATCGTCGCTATGGCCAGTGCACATGGCTTTAAATTGTGCGCAAACAAAGGAATGCACAAACACGACGAAATCACAAACGGCATAAAAACAAAAACCATACTAAATGACATAAATTTTTTGCTTCTTGTGCTTCCATTTCATTCATATTAATACGGGAATAATCACGTTGATGTTTCTGAATTTTTGCTGGCACAATGTTTATCAAGCGGCTGTTGTTGTTTTCTTCAATTCGGGCCTGACATAAATCCACATCGGTTAACTTTATTTGGTTTGGTTTAATCAATTGTTGCTATATTTTGGAATTTCGTTCGCTCTTGCATTATTCTATTCGGTCGATAATCGATATCGACACAGTTTCTATGTATTATTCAGTTTTATTCCGTTCTGACTGAGGTCATTTCAATTCCAGCAGATTTGCAGTTTTTTTTTTTCATTTTCATTTAAATGGCTACACGATACCACGCTTATTAAATGTGCGAATAACAACAAAAGAATTTTTTTTTTGTTATTTAATCAGGCGCCCTGAACAAATTTCTAGCATAAATGAAAGGGGAAAAAATGGTTGTAGTTCTCTTCAAAACCAGGAACCACGATTATTGTTGTTTTTTTTTTCTTCTTCTTCTTCTTCTTCTGTGCCATACAATATGTCACGGTATATATGCACTACGACTTTTACTTTCTCGCACGCAATCAAATCAAAATCAAATCGAAATTGCAAATTCATCGAAATAACATATAATTTACATGGTTTTACGCAACGCGCTCGCGCGCTCCACATATTTTGCATTGCATTGTTTCGAACACACACTCACATCTAACCGGTTCAATATGTTCTTTTCTCCCGACTGCGTACTATTTGCTACCAAGTTATTGTGTGTGTGTACCTTTAAATGCAGGACTTTAAATCATGACAACGGTGTTCATGTATTAAATTAAATTCATTTTACAAATCAAATGAATTGGCAGATTCGCGATGATAATATTATTTATAATGTGATACTGTCGATAATTTATTGGCCAGAACTTTGAACACACATTCGATTCACCTCAATTCATTGTCAATGTCAAATTCCAATGCGGTATGCTTGTAAAGTGTGTGCGATTTTATCGAAAGTGGCAAACTCGGTGTCGAGGGAAGTTCTTTTGAATTTTCTTTCTTCTATTTCATTCACATAGAAGAATTGAAATTTTATTGGCCATATGAAGAAGCTCTATCCTTTAATAATTAAATGTGCACTGTGAAATGGTTTGAATTTTAAAATAGCACAAGTGTGCCAAGCTGTCTACGAGCTATTTTGTTTCATAACAGAATTCTAATGAACTCAACCAACAAAAAAGTATACGAAATGAGAATGAAAAAAAAAGAACTTTCGATTGATGGGTTTGAATTATTTTACGGTGACATCAGTTGCGCAGCAACCTTTTTTATATGTACTATTCTCTCACTCATTTGCTTGCTTGCTCACTCACTCAGGAGCTGCTGACGATTTGAAAAGAGTTCAATTAAATGCGCAATTAAACGAAATAAATGCGCGATTGATGATGCTGGCTAAAGCGAGATAGAGAGAGAGAGAGAGAGAGAGAGAGAGAGAGAGAGAGTATTGAAACGTTGAAACATATTTGGATCTGCCATAAATGAAATGGATTATCAGCATGTGCGCTAGTTCACTGTTGGTCGTCAATCGATTTCAATGGTTTGATTGTTCAAAAACCTTTTAATTGAATTATCGCTTCGATTCAAACGAAGGGAAACTTGTAGACGATGGAATAATGGCGAATCATGAAAATCGGTATAATTCAAGCCATTTACACAAATGAACTGCGCTCATTGTAGGAAATGAACCACTGACGTTCGTTCGACATCTTTTCATAATTTCTTCTACACTGTCGCATTCAGCTGCAAAGAAATGCATTTTCCTACGTCAAGATCCATCGCTTTTTGATGGTGCGTTGAAAGAGTATCTCGTTGGTTTTTTTGTGTGTATGATGTTTTTGTTGTTGGTGCACTTTCTGACTGGCAACATCAAACATTGAGTTATTTTTATAAAGAAAAAGTCGAACAATGGCACAAAAACAACTTAACATTAAGCACATCGTCTATCGTCCGCTCTGTTTTTGGCTCAGCTCTGAACTCTCTTTTCCTCTGCTTCTCTTTCTATTTGCGCATCTATCCTCACGCGGTATATTCAAAATAATAGGCAAAATAGAAAATTCAGTGCACATAAGGCACATCTATGTGTATAACGCATTCTATATATGTTATCTTCAATGTTTGATGCCCGCAAACGTTTATCCAGCGTATCCAATAAAATGTCGAAACAGACCGAAAAAAAAAACAGAGAGAAATGATCGGAGAGAGCACACGGCAAAACTCCGCACACAAATTATATGCTCGATGTATACGATTTTTTTTTGGTTAACCATATAAAGTCGTTAATATTTCTGTCAATTTGTATACGATGGCAGTGCCATTATGGCACATAATGAAATGTTAATATTTGAATTCATCTTGATCGGCAAATATCATAACTGTGCGCACTCCATCCACAAATTAACCAGAAGAATCCATTTCAAATTCGAAAGCGGTCATTTTTCTCAAATTTCTTCCTCATTGTCCCATCTGTTTCATTTCATCGGATTGCATTCATGGTTTTTTTTTATAGGAAATAAATTATGAACTGCAGTGAAAACGACTCTCTTTTAGCATTTTTATTTTCTTTGCATCCGAATACACTTGATGCTAAAGTTCAAAGATAAAATGGCTGTGTATACAGCTTTTCAAGTATTTTCGAAACGAAAATCAAAAGAAATGGTCGCCCATCATTTTGATGCAAATACAAATTCGATGATGCACGAGTTGATAAGGATCAACGGCCAAAAATTAGTGGGCAAAATAAACGAAATTGGAATCGCATTCGACGAATTAGCATTGCTGTACGTAAAGGTGGCAAAGGGGCAAAATTTGTTCGTCCGTCCATCCGTCCATTTATTGATTTGGGACAAACGGACATTTGTCCGTTAATGATGTATAACACTTATGAAGTGATGTAAGTCATTTTAAAAATTTGTCCATTTGTCCTAATTTGAAATGGGACATTAGGACAAATGTCCGTTTGTCCCAAATCAATAAAAGGACGGACGGACACGAAATGTTCGTCCTCTGTACGTCCGTTTGCCACCTTTAGCTGCACGTGTTGATGTGAAATAATATTTTGGTAAGTGGTCATATGTTTGTTAATTCCCCAGAGAATTTAGAGCACTCGATGATGAAGCACGAAAGAGAGAGAGAGAGAGAGAGAGAGAGAGAGAGAGAGAGAGAGAGAGA